CAAAACAACACATTGTTACTAACCTTTCTTACGACATTCACCATAATACCTCATTGTCTCTATGAAAACACTAAGTTGTTTACATATGTACAATTCTTTTTTTTGTGTGGTGAGGGGAATAAAAAACAACAAATTTAAAATACCCAATGAGTATGTACAATATTAATACAATCTATTTACAAGAAACTAAACCAAATAATGTTAGTAATAAACCCTCCCCACACGCGCAATCCTTAAATTTGGCAGAAACATCAGTTAACTTGATAGATAACGAAATCAATGCGGGACAATTATATATATATATATATATATATATATATATATATATATATATATACACACACACACACACACACACACACACACACACACATATATATATATATATATATATATATATATATATTGTTGTAGAGTGGTTTCACAGTAGAGGCTTGTATTTGTACTAAGTCGGTCCTAAAATAGGTTCGACGTACGAAACGTTAGGAACTTGATATAATAGTTAATGACGCAGTAATCTATTTGGGGTGGCTGATACTTTAGAAAGTTAGCTTAACGCACTACACAGGGAGGGGTGAACAAAAAGCGGGAACATCCCTAAACAAAATTGTTGTAATTTTTTCACCGTATTATTATTAAAACAGGCCATGGCCGGAAACATCCCGAAGACTTCATTAGCCTCCGCAACCATGGCCCAAATTTGTTGACTGGCTTTACCCCACTCTAGCGACAGTTTACACCCTTTTTACGTTGGGAAAATTTCTCGGATGTTCGATATCTAGGATGTTAATTTTCCTAAAGTTAACCAGGGATTTAATGTGCCTCATTTTTTGGGAATATTGTAGGACCTTGTCTTCTAGTTGTTTGGATACTCGGCACACGTCTCCCTCTGTGTTAAAGATGGGTTTAGGTCTCTGTTTTCTGGTGATGAGCTTCTTTGCCGTTTGGCATTGTCAGTCTTTTTCGGTGTGCAGGAATTTTGACAGGGGATGGTTTGGGGTTAATAGCGATAGTGGTACGGTGGTCTTTTGCAAGTGAAACTGTGATGGGGGCCTTTTTAAATACTGTCATTTTTGTGGGAAAGTGAGATGAGGATCTTAGGACTGGAGGAGGGGTTATAATGTGTTGTTTAGCTGACGCAGAAGACGGTGCCAGATTTTTTTCCATGATTGAGAGAATCTTTCAGTAGGCGCAATTTTTCTGCTTTCTCAAAGGATGGCTCGTACTTCTGCTTTGTTGTCATAGTTTTTCCGAATAGCTGGTCGAGGAGTCACCCTTAGGACTGGAAGAGGGGTGGGACTGTTTGTGTCGTTTCCCGTTGGGGCTTCATTGGAACGAGGACCCACTGTCCGGAGCTTCCCGTTATCCTTACCCACAACCTGCTATTCCCCATTCTCCTCCTCCACAATGGCATTAGCGGCGGGCAAAGGCTTTTCATGGAATGGCGCCGTGAGAGGGACCCAACCGGGGTTTTAACCACACTGGTCCCGGCTGTTGGCATGCCCATTACAGGCGGTGATGGAAACTACAGAGTCACCCCTAGGGGAATTTGTGTCGGAGGGGGCCAGATCTCCCGAGGCCTTCATCTCTGGGCAGGAAGAGGACAAGTGACCAGTCTGCCCACACTTCCAGCAATCCTGTCTTCGACCTGTTACTATGATCGGCATCTTCTGGTCCTCTACATTAAGGCAGGTGGGGCGGAACAACGATGGCCTTACGATCTACCATTAATTCAAAGCACCATCCCCCGGTCAGATCCTCAGAGGAAGCGCTGAGAATCTAGCCAAATTGGCACAGATATGCAGCCAAGTATTCCTCGACAATCCTAGGAGGGTCCTCATATACTGAAATGTTGGTCCTACACCTACCTTAGTATTTGGTCCTCAGTATAAGATTTTTTATTATAAGGTCACAGGTGCTAACCGCTTCACAGTCGGCAGCCATGGGTAACAGTATGGCCCACATGAAGAAACCTTTGTATTTAATGACTTTCTGTGGTTTAATCCCCAGTGATGACAACGATTTTTTGAAGGTCTTTTTTGTGGAGAGACAAATTTTGCGCTAACGGTTGTCCACCACAAAGACCGACACAATTATTTTCTCAACTTTCTGTAGTTCCTCAAGATTTGTCAAGAGCCCATCTTTTGTAACAAGATGGGCGTAGCTTTTAGCTTTCCCAAGGAACTTCGTGATGTTGATACTATTAGGCCGCTACTTTGTCATCTTTGTGGAATTGTCTTGGCCTGTTTCGGCTACCATATTATTTTTCTTATTTTGGATACTTTGGCCTAATCCGGCTTCCATATTTTCAGCAGGAATGTGAGAATTTTTTCCGCTAAAAACTTTTCCTTTTATTTTTCGGCTATTATATATATATATATAGTGTGTGTGTAATGGAAAAGCAAATTTCTTTTTTATCTACGTGTCGTGAGAGGACATTTGATGCCATGGCTCTCCACAACTTTCTATCCATTTTAGCTCTTATCCCTCTTTTTATACTATATTTTCCCGTTCCTGTCCTGCCTTGCATTTACACACAACTAATCTGAATCATTCTATTACTTTTCCTCCATTTGCGTGTCAAATTCTCCAGGCCTTCTTTCCAATTCTAAGTACAAGTATTCTTTTTTTGTTTTTATTTCCTTAAAGAAGGATTTCAGCGATCACTCTGAGCACTTAATCTCATTATATTCATTTTTTAATATTTATTTCATTTTTATTGAAAAAAATAAATATTTCATCCACCCCCTACCAACCTGCAATGATTCAGGCCCCACAGACCGGTTATGTGACCAGGAGGAATATAGACTAGTCCTGTTACTTAATTATTACTCCTAATCAAGTACTCATTACCTGTATAAAAGACACTAGTTCACAGAAGCCTTCAATGAATCAGAATCTAATCTCCCCAAATAGGCAAGAAGAAAGAATTGTCTAAGAACATCCGGGACAAAATTGTATACCTGCACAAGACTTGAATGGGCTACACGATGATTGGCAAGCAGTTAGGCGAGAAGGAGTCAACTGTTGGTGTGATAGTAAGAAAATGGAAGAAACACTAAATGACTATCAATCGCCCTCAGTCTGGATCTCCACACAAGATCTCTCAATGTGGAGTGAACCTGATGATGAGAAAGATAAAGAAACAACCCAGAGCTATGTGGCAAGAGATTGTTGATGATCTCAGGGCAGCTAGGACCAGAGTCACCAAGATGGCCATTAGTAACGCACTATGTCGTAGTGGACTGAAATCATATAATGCCCGCAAGGTGCTCATACTCAAGAAGGCACATGTACAGACCCGTCAGAAGTTTGCAAATGAGCGCCTGGATGATTCAGAGGTGGGTTGTGAGAAAGTGGTGGTCAAACGAGACTCACAGTGTTTGGATGGGGCCAAGTACAGGGAAATCTTGAATGAAAACCTCCTTGCCTCAGCCAGGACACTGAAGAGGAGTCACGGATGGGTGTTCCAGCATGACAATGACCCAAAACATATGGCGAAAGCAACAAAGGAGTAGGTGAAAAGGAAGCAAATTAAGGTAACGGAGTCAGTCGTTGGACATTAATCCTTTAGAGAATCTGTGGAGGGTTAGGGTTAGCTTCGAGTTGCCCAATGACAATCTACAAACCTTAAGAATTTGGAGAGGATCTACAGAGGAGTGGGCGAAGATCCCCTCTGCGATCTGTAAAAACTTGGTAGAGAACTACAGAAAACATCTGGGTGCTGTACTTACCAACAAGGGGTTCTTCACCAAATACTGAGTAATATTTTGCTATGGGATGAAAGCCTTATTTTTTCAAGAAAAATGAAAGGAATGTTCAAATATTAATATAAGGTGTTTTTTTTTAGATTTTTTTCACACTTTCAAGATGGACCTACCCTGTTTCTATATTTATGAGCTGGCAAACTCAGAAAATTAGCAGAGGATGAAATACTTGTTTCCCCCACTGTAATATATATATATATATATATATATATATATATATATATATATATACAAAGATAGATAGAGATAGATAGGTAGATAGAGAACGAAATTAACAGACGCAATAGATAAATAGATAGATAGATATGAAAAAAATGAGATAGATAGATAGATAGATATGAGCAGACTGATATAGATAGATAGATATGAGTAGAGTGAGACAGACAGATAGATACATAATGAACAGATAGATAGATAGATAGATAGATAGATAGATAGATAGATAGATAGATATGAGGAGACTGAGATAGATAGATAGATAGATAGATAGATAGATAATGAGCAGACTGAGATAGATAGATAGCTAGATAGATTAATAGATAGATAAATAACCAAATTGGGATAGATAGATAGATAGATAGATATGAGCAGACAGATAGATAGATAGATAGATAGATAGATAGATAGATAATGAACAGACTGAGATAGATAGATAGATAGATAGATAGATATATAGATAGATATGAGCAGACAGATAGATAGATAGATAGATAGATAGATAGATAGATAGATAGATAATGAACAGACTGAGATAGATAGATAGATAGATAGATAGATAGATAGATAGATAGATAGCATATGACATAATATTATTATCAAGTGCTATCTCGATATTGGCATCAACTTTCGAACAATTTCTTCTTGAATTTGATATATAATGCTCCATTCCATTCTTTCATTATGCTTTCAGGAACCTTTCCATTAGACAAGGATATTCCCTGAGATAAAAAAAAAAATAACCAAAAATCCGATAAGCTTCTGACTTTCTGATATCAATTTGCCCTTTTCCTTTTTGTTTTCCATTTTTTCGAAATTCTTAAGTAATATTCTCGCTTGCGCGCTGCTTAAAGTGTGCTTTCGGCCACTTTCTCCGCGCGTTTATCTACATTAACTTAAAAACAATAGTCGACATAGCATCTTAACTGACAGCATTATATAAAGCATATGTTCGTATGTAATTGGCTATACAACTTCCTGTAGTCGTCGTTAATTAGCACCAAAATCTCGACGCAGATGTTTCCAGTGAGTGGTCTATCCGAGAGGCTACGCAACAAATAAAGGGGCATACCGTAACAAGACCTTTATATATGCATACATATATATATATATATATATATATATATATATTTATATATTTATATATATATATATATAAAGACATTTTTATGTTTATACATTCATTATATATATATATATATATTTTATATATATATATATATATTAAGGCATTTTTATGTTTATACATTTTTTTTATAGATACAAATATTTAAGTAAATGCTCTGTTTATAATAAACAGTATTAGAAAAGATTCACCAGCCTGATAAAAAGAGTAATTAAGTGGTGGTTCCATGCTAATCAAAACCTACAATCTTCTGATCAGACGACTAGCTACCGGATGTAGTTTATCGTCATGCCCAGGACGCGGATGTAGTTAAGAGCGGTCTACAGTCTTTAGTGAAGCGAAGGTCGGTCATCTTTCTATACAGCACCAATGAAAAACAAACAATACCACACTATTAAAAGAAAAGAAAAGAAATCTGATGAAGCTTAAATCAAACCGTAACATGGTAAATTTATAAAAAATTCGTATTTATTCCTTAGTTCATAATCCTGTCGGATTTTATTAATCTTCATTTCATATTCATGTAAGTTTTGCATACAAATAAAAACAACTTACTCAGTACAAAGGTGCATTCTTGTTTCGATGCATATGCATCTCGACAGGTGAGAACCAAGTATGGCTACCATCTTTGTTTTCGTTTGGATATATATATATATATATATATATATATATATATATATATGATGAAATGGACAAAGTCCGACAATTATTTTAAGACATTGTTATGTTTATACATTCTTTTTATAGATACAAATATTGAAGTAAATGCTCTGTTTTTAATAAACAGTATTAAACAACATTTACCAGCCTGAATGTCCGAGAAATGTTCACAGAAAATATTCGCCCTCCGACAGCATTCGAACCTGTATCCTATACGGATATATATATATATATATATATATATATATATTATAATTTTATATATTATAATTTTATATATTATAATTTTATCATATAGGCATTTTACTCACTACAAAGTTGCAACTTCGTTTCAGTACATTTCAACTGTAATTCGACGGGTGAGAATCGAAAATGGTTATGAACAATCCTGCTTGTTGGCAAGCCGTATGTGAACCGACTCTTCCTTTTTTTTTCCATTTGTTTGAGATGAAAAATATACATAAAAAATGTATATTTTTCTTCTCAAATAGTCCGAATAATATAAATAGTGTAGGGTGGTTACAACGTCACTGAAAATGAGATTCCAGATCAATATATCATTGCAGACTTGTATGGATTTTATCAATAATCTCTATATATATATATATATATATATATATATATATATATATATATATATAGAGAGAGAGAGAGAGAGAGAGAGAGAGACGAAGCTTCAGACCAGATGTCTGTTCGTCAAAGCAGAAGTTCTTGCGAAGAAGCTGTCCGAGTGGAACTTCTTTTATTTTTTTGTTGCGTTACATCACTTTCTTTCTTCACTATCTATCTATCTTAGTCTCTTCATATCTATCTATCTAGCTATCGCTCGATTTCAATCTCTTCATATCTATCTATCTATCTATCTCTCTCTCTATATATATATATATATATATATATATATATATATATATATATATATATATATATATGAGTTTATTCGAATCTGTATATCTCTCTATGAAATCTGTAAATTTTCAGTCTGGTCATATCTACCTAGCTAGCTAGCTATCTATTTCAGTCTGTCCATCTATCTATCTATCTATCTATCTATCTATCTATCTATCTATCTCAGTCTATTCATAGCTATCTCAGACTATTCCTATCTATCTATCTATCTATCTATCTATCGCTTCTCTCTTTACATCTCTCTCTCTCTCTCTCTCTATATATATATATATATATATATATATATATATATATATCAGCCTCTTCATATCTATCTCTCAATTTTTTAGTAGTAGTGAGCTTTCCCTGGTTATTCCCTAGAGAAACGTTAGTCTTGTCTTGGGGGCACACCCCTTTCAAATACACCTTAAGCACTCTCTTTCTAACACTAAATGCATGTACCTTGAGAGTACCTGTGTTAAGTGCTACCTGTAGTTTCTGTAATAAGGATATTCAGAGACTTATTCATGCATATTACGGTCTCCTCCTGTGCTGATCTTGCAAGGACTGCCTGACCTGGATATGATGACGGATATTTTATGTCTCCCTCTTGAAATGTACTTCCCAGACAGTGTAACTGTTGATTTCTTATTAGTTGGAAACTTTTTTTTAAATCTCCCGAATGCATTTAATATTCGTATGGATTTATTTCCCTTCTTCCTGGAGTTTTCAGAGAGTTCTTTTGATCTGGGCCTAGCGATGCCAATAATCTTAAACGAACAAGAGCAAAAGAAACAAATATATAGATATTTAAATAATGCATGCTCCGTTAAGGATGGTACTAATAATTTTTTAACGTTCGCTATGATTACAAAGTACTGCATTCTCATGGCGTTTTCAATTTTAATTATTAAAATTTAAATACTAAATCTATGGATAAAATTCTGTCACTTCCGTCCGACACAACCTCTAAAATAGGCATATATTGACTGATCGAAACCAAATTTTGTAGAGAACTTTGTGAAAAGTACAATTCATCTGACTAGGGGACGTAGAATATTACAATAAATTGTTATTAAAATTTTTGGAAAAATTGAAAGTTTTTATTATTTAACATACTAAATACTTACACTATTTAAAAAAAATAATTTAATGATTAAAACGAGAACTGCGACAACTATAAAAAATCACAAGGCTAGATGCTTCATAAAGTTGGAGTTTTGCTCCAGAAAGAAATATTTACGCATGGCCAGTTGTATGTAGCATGCTCAAGAGTAAGAAATCCTAAGAATTTATTTTTCGCTGTTAAAAAAAAGTAAAAACGAAATTTTCTTAAAATATATTATTTACTATGAAGTCCTATGAGTTAAATTTCGAAATTATTAACCCGCGAAGTAGGGTTTTTTTTAAAGTATTTTTTTTCGAAACAAAGCAGCTTGTTCAAATTTCATGGATAGGTTTGCGAAATTGAGCTAAACGTAGAGTTTGTAAATCTCGACAAAAAGCGATCATTTCAACAATACTGAATACTGCGAGGAAATTGTACTAAACTTAAAAATTGGACAATATATCTCTAGATATGAGCAGTGGAAGTTCTACCCATTTTAGATTGAATAAAGGGTTTAGTTTAGAATTCCGGGTAGATTACCCAGATAGATTTGTATCTGATGAAAGCCCGGCGGCACTACAACAAAAATAAAGACAAAAGTACGAATCAATCAATCAATCTATCTATCTATCTATCTATCTATCTACTGTTCAAATCTATCTATCTATAGTTCTGTTCATATCTATCTATCTATCTATTTATGTATCATTCTATTCATATCTATCTATCTATCTATCTATCTATCTATCTATCTATCTGTCTATCTATCTATCTATCTCAGTTTCCTTACATCTCTCTATCTATATCAGTCTCTTCATATCTATCTATCTATCTATCTATCTATCTATGCTCGTGTTTCATCCTCTGATGGACTTTATCAAGGCAAATGTAACGATTTTTCTTTGAAACAATTTATAAATGGACGTCCGTAGGTTCGTGAATTTGGTGAGATAGAATTGTAAGTTCAAACACTCGGTCAGGCAGTGTTCACTTGGACACTATCTATCTATCTATCTATCTATCTATCTATCTATCTATATATTTGTCTGTCAAATTCTATGATATCATCGGTACCTCACACCCTGTAAAATATCTATACATATCCAATCGAAACAAAATTTGGTGCGGAGAAGTGCAAACAGGTGGAGCGATCTTTTCTCGCCAATTAAATCATTAACCTTTGTATTTGTTTTTTGTATGAATAATTCATGAATTTGTAAATTGATTGCACCTTTATTGAAATTAAAATAACTGATCCAAATGCAACTTTTGGATAATAAGTGCGACATTACTGTAATTATTGAACAATAAAGTTCATGCCACTTTGACAGAAAATTTACCTGTAAAAAAAAAGAATTCGCTTATCACCATATTTGTATAAGAACGCACAATTGTAAAATTTAAATTCAAACTTAGCGTTGCGACAGCTCGCTCCAAAAATAATAACTCATTTCTAATAGCATTTTTCGGATTACAACAGTACATATATTTTCGTTGTCCTCTTATTACTGAGAGAAAAAACAAGAACAAAATCTATTCCATACCTGAGGATGTCTGTATGAACAGACGAAAGCTTGTAAAAATAATAAGAACTCATGCAGCAGGAATTTATTGAAACAAGGATCTTTTCATTCATAAACAGGTTTTGGGTTATTGTATATTATTTGAATTGTTCGCGACGATGGAATTCTCGCCAATTAAATCATTAACCTTTGTATTTGTTTTTGTATGAATAATTCATGAATATATATATATATATATATATATATATATATATATATATATATATATGCAAATATTTATATATATATATAAATATATATATATTTGCGTATTTAGGCAGCAATCTTTCTTTCATGCACATTTCATTGAATACGACAGACAAGGTGCAAAAACATGCAAAAAAGGTTAAAAATAATGGAAAAAAACATAATAACAAAAAAAAACAACATTTAATAATATTAACTTTGAACATGAACATATTATCTTGACCGTGTTTTGAAAAATGAAAACATTTTATAAAACATACATACAACAAACGATTTCTTATTAAACAGTTAAAATATGTCATCCTTGAAAATGTCTAAACGTATAGCCGAAAGCACTCGGATAAAAAGAACATTCGGATAGTTTTTATATAACTTATCATCCAAAATAAAAAAAAATATTATATCGCATGAGAAATTGTATAAAAACTAAATAAAAGCACCTTGACTGTCGTATTCAATGATATATATATATATATATATATATATATATATATATATATATATATATATATATATATATATATATATACAGGGTTTTAAATTCAGAGTTATGCTTTATGATATTGTTATGGTTTTGACGGCAAAAGTAAGTCTATTATTTTTGGGTGGACCCTGTTTTAATTTTTTTAATGTGAACTACGCCACTCTATTCGATATTTTCGAATCTTCTTTGACGCTCACGAAACGTTGGCAATATTAGGCAACTTGTTGAAAATAACGTCGGGCTCGTTTTCAAGCTTGTTGAGTACCCTACAACGTATTCTGGTGTCTTTCGCTAAAATCAAACCCTGGAAGAAAATCGGGCATTTAAAATTATTGGCACTTAACTCTGCCAATTTGAAGTCATCGCAGTGTTTATTGACTACAACCGGGAAAGTAGTATAATCTTCGTCTTTTTTGCAAGTGAGATTCATGCATTCCCAACGCTTATGGAACAGTGACGTTTTGGACTGAAGAGTTCTGTTAATGATTGAACCCCATCTTTAAATTTCAAGTCGCTGTATGTCTAAGGGAAAATATCGTTAACGAACTTAGTATATTCTGCTGTGTCTAATCTGTGTCGAACCTTTTTTATGGTCAACCCAACTTGTACAATTCATATTGTATAAGTTCTCGTAACATTTAAAGTACGAAGCGAATGTAATTTCTTCTTCAGGTGAAAACGTGAAATTTTCAATAGCACTCCATATAGCATTTTGAGAGAACGCGTTTTCGCTGTTCTCATTTTGACTTTTGATGGATAGATTATTGTTATGGTCCGGTTCCTTGTACCACGGTGATAGTCCAAGGTAGAACCAATAAAGAAGAACTCGGACACATATATGGAATAACACAGATATATTACAAACAGGAATATATACAGAGAAGTAGAAAAGTGTTAGTACGAACAATCAGATTAGTAGTAATTTTCTGAACGCGACTCTGTTTCGGACTGCCTCTGACTCGACTGACTGACTCGTTCGCTCTGACTGACTGACAGAATCCTAATGGACCTCACTCCAGACTTCAGACGGAACAGTATTTAGTCACCCCCTCCCACAGGGGCATCTTGTGGCACAAGGCCGGTTTAACAAGGGATCTCCGAGCCCGTGGGCTAGGCCAAAAATATGCCCTTTGAACCCGTATAAACGGGTTCAGGGTCGGTTTACCTCCCCGAAAGAGACTCCGCCCTTCGGCGTAGCCTCGTTCGGGTTCCTCTCCGCCCGAAGGCAGAGAGTTCAACCGGTCAGCCGGTCAGCCGGTCGCCCGACTTCGGACTAAACTCCCTGCTTCCTCTTAAGGCGCAGTATTTATTAAGTATGGCATAGTCCATTATGTTATTATGGGTAAGGTCCCATAACACATTATATATATATATATTGGGGCAGCAGATAATTATTTAAACATATTGTTAAATATCACTCTACTATGCTTGATCATGAGCTGTTCTAAACCCCGTATAATGCTTTTAATTTCTGGAGAAAATAAAGAGAAAAATTGTCCAACATTTGTATATTTTATAGTCTGTTCCTTGAGCTAAGCTTTCGACTCACATGAACCATCTTCAGAGTAGTTATATGGACAATTAAGCAAAGACATTCACCATCAAAGATGATATTCTGTTATGTTGAACTAGAAGATTGCAATGCGATGATAACGGTCGCAGAATATCAGACGCAGGACATAAAATCATGATGCGGTTCTATGTTGTACCACGTGAGAGAGCGAAATATTGACAATAAAACCATATATCTAGATGCAATGTAATACGTTGTGACTATAAATCTATGCACACATAGCGGGTAAGTGTGTGAAAATGCTTCCATGGTATGTCTTTCAAATGGCCTCTGAAAACTAAGTCCAGCTTTAAGCCGGTGAATAGACGAAAGCGGAAAACTAGCGCCTCATAACCAGCTGCTTCAGGTAAATGGAACTCGACGGCTCGGAAAGACAGTCTATCTAGAGGGAGTAAAACCCCGATTTTAAACCTCCACTGCCAGTCTGTCATATCCAAGCACAAAAAAGGCGATGGAACTATGTCCCGACAGATAACCTGAAATGGAGTCCCGAAAGCATTTAGCTATCAACACCGACAACCTTCCGGCAACTCCTTCAGTCAAGCCGTCCCCAAATATAATGACATCTATTCCTTTCGATCTTTTCGATACGGCTGAAAAGGGAGGGGCATATTGTCTGGACATCTCGCGGCGTTTATATACCATCGCTAGGAGAAGGTAAACTCTGAATTACGACCACCTGTGTCTTGTAGGTTTTCTTGTACATTTAAATTCTAAAAAGACGGGTTAATTTTAACATCTCTGGTGCAAAAGAAACCCGCAAGCCATTGCTCCCTTTCTTTCTTAAATGTCACCAAGAACCGCATTCGCGAGATTGAGAAGAATAGTGGCCACAGCTAAGCAAAATGCGCACACTGAAGGAATGAAAATGCGCCCTACGACCGGATTCGAACGTGCTTTAACCATCTCGTCTACGAATGACGTCTTAACGTAGCAAGGTCCTATTTTTCGTTTAAATGGTGTCAAGATGGGCAGACGTCTTATCTGAAAACATAGAAAAAAAGAAAATGAATCAATTTAATGATTTTTAGATATTAAACATTTTGTAGGATCTGCAATTATGCTGTTACACGATTTGAACTATTTTGCTGTTACACCCCAAATATATATATATATATATATATATATATATATATATATATATATATATATATTTGGGCTGTAACAGCAAAATAGTTTAGCAAAAATAACCGACACCCACAACTATCTACACTTTAAGTCTTCCCACCCTAAACACCTCAAAGAGAACCTTCCCTATTCACAGGCACTTAGACTCAGAAGGATATGTTCCAACAATGAAGAATTAAATAAACACATTGAAAATCTGGAGCATCAATTCACAACACGTGGCTATAAACAACACCTAATCAGGGAACAAATAAATAAAGCAATTTCTACACCTAGAGAAGACACCCTAATGTACAAGATTAAAAATATATCTAGCCGCACCCCTCTAGTAACCACTTTCAATCCCACTCTGCCTCCACTATCCCAAATAATCAAACGTCGCTGGGAAATACTACATCTCAAACCAGACCTAAAAAACTGTTTAAGGAACCCGGCCTTCTTGCATATCGTAGACCTAAGAACCTAAAAGAAATCATAGGTAGTAACCACATTTCAGGGGACAAGGTAATCCGTAATGAACTAAGAACAAAAACAACAGGATTTTCCCAACCATGTAACAACAAAAGAAGTTTATGTTGCAACCATATTAAAAACAGGAATTTATTCACTAGCTCAATCACAAAATCTACTTTCAAAATTTACCACGATTCTAACTGTAGAAGTCATAACATAATTTATCTCCTAGAATGCACACTATGCCAGAAACAATATGTAGGAAAATCTGAATGGCCCTTTCACTACAGAATTAATAATTATCGTAAGCGAATTAAATCGACTCCCCATGAAAAATTATTACCTGTAGAACAACATTTCTGCCTGGAAAAACATGATTTCAAAACCCATGCCAAATTCACTATAATTGAGAGAATAGAAAAGTTCAGAGCAGATAACATTAGAAAGATTTTAGAGTCCCATGAAAATCAGTGGATACAACGTCTAAAAACACAATATCCAGCCGGGCTAAATCATAAATTTAACAACATATAGATAGTCAACAAATCAAAACCTACTTACACTTCTCACCCACACAAGACAGACATGCTTACGGAGGTGTGGAAGCTTCACACTTATACACACACCCACACGAATATACACACTTACACACATCATACTCAC